CTGGGTGTCTCTCCCTCGAATCCACATGGACAGCCTCTTCGTCAATCGACCGCTGGATGAATGCCTCCCCAATGTGTCTGTCTGTACTTGGGGCGGGAGGGAGCGGGTGGGGTGTTATTGACCATACTTCACCACAACGGGGGAGCGGTGGTCATTCACGTAGCAAATAAAATAGTCGAGGATATGCAACGCGATTGTACTGTGAGTGGTGGCGTTTTGCCGCGGTGAGCCCGCCTTAACCAATGCGACCAGCGTGGTGAAGTATGTTCAAACGGTACCACCACCCCCCCCACGTCTCCCCCTGTCATGCGTCCCACACGTGTGGCTGTCGATCAACGCGCGGCTCTCGGTTTCAATTAAAACAATTTTTTTTATGTATTTTGCACGCGAGGCCACAGCGTCAAAACACGACAATCAACGCACACGCTGATAGTGAGTGGTGGTGGTGGGTGGGTGGGAGGGTGTGTTGGTGGGAGGGTGGGTAGGTGGGTGGGTGGGTGGAGGGTGGGACGGTGGGAGGGTGGGAGGGTGGGTGGGTGGGTTGGTAGGTGGGTGGGTGGGAGGGTGGGACGGTGGATGGGAGGGTGGGAGGGTGAGTTGGTGGGAGGGAGGATGGAGAGGTTGGGAGTGGGTGGGAGGGTGGGACGGTGGGAGGGTGGGTGGGAGGGTGGGTGGGTGGGTGGGTGGTGGGTTGGTGGGTGGGTGGGTGGGTGGGTAGGTGGGTGGGTGGGTGGGGGGAGGGAGGGTGGGTGGGTGGGTGGGTGGGAGGGAGGGTGGGTAGGTGTGGGTGGGTGTGGGTGGGTGAGGGAGGGGGGGGGTGGTGGGTGGTGTTGGTGGTGGGTGGGTGGGTAGTGGTGGGTGGGTGGAAGGGTGGGAGGGTGGGTGGGTGTGGAGGGGGGTGGTGGGTGTGGAAGGGAGGGGGTGGGTGGGTGGGTGGGTGGGTTGGGTGGGTGGTGTGGGTGGGTGGGAGGGTTGGTGGGTGGTTGTGGGGGGGTGGGTAGGTGGGTGGGTGGGTGGGTGGTGGGGGTGGGTGGGAGGGTGGGTGGGTTGGTGGGATGGTGGGAGGGTGGGTGGGTGGGGGGGGTGGTGGGGGGGGAGGGTGGGTGGGAGGGTGGGTGGGTGGGACGGTGGAGGGTGGGTGGGAGGGTGGGAGGTTGGTGGGTGGGTTGGTTGGTGGGAGTGGTGGGTGGTGGTTTTGGGTTGTGATGAGTCTATTGGGGCGTGGTGGGTGGATTGGTCGGTGGTTCGGTGGGTTGGTGGTTATGGGATCGTGATGAGACTACCAGGGAGTGGTGGGTGGGTGGTTATGGGGGTCTGATGAGTCTATAGGGCATGGTGGGTGGGTGGGTGTTATGGGGTTGTGACGAGTCTATAGGGGCATGGTGGGTGGGTTATGGGTCGTGACGAGTCTATAGGGGCTGGGGGTTTGGTATGATGGGCGTGATGAGTCTATAGGGCCGTAGTGGGTGGTTATGGGTCGTGACGAGTCTATAGGGGCATGGTGGGTGGGTGGTTATGGGGTCGTGATGAGTCTATAGGGTCGTGGTGGGTGGGTGGTTATGGGGTCGTGATGGGTCTATAGGGGCGTGGTGGGTGGGTGGTTATGGGGTCGTGATGAGTCTATAGGGGCGTGGTGGGTGGTTATGGGGTCGTGACTAGTCTATAGGGGCGTGGTGGGTGTTATGGGGTCGTGATGAGTCTATAGGGCACCAGGCTGAGCCCGAGAACGACGCTCAAGAGAGAACGACGCACCGAGAAAATTGTTTTTAACAAACCAACTTCATTCATTCATCTTCTTGGTTCTTTCGGTAAAGTCACGTAGAATGGAAACAATTAATAATAAACATAAAACATAATAAAATAATTTACTTTCATTATATTTTTTATTATGTTTTTATTTTATTATTTTATTATCTCCCTTCTACGTGACTTTACCGAAAGAACCAAGAATATGATGAATCCCTGCAGTCACGAAAGAAGCTTAAAATCGAAATTCATTCATTTACTTTCACCATTCAAGCCCCCTCCGCCCACCAAGCTTTCTGCCTCATCAGGCTCTGTTCATTTCGTTCACAGAAGCAGGCCCCTGGCTATCACAGAACAAAACACTAAATTGATAGCCTCCCAGGGATGGAAATTCATAGCAGCAGCAGCAGGCGCCCCAATCCTCTCTCTCTCTCGAGGCGCGTGATGCGAAACGACCCCAACGCGTCGAATTTGGGTGCAAGGGAATAACAAAAAGCATCGGGGAGGACTCCCCCGGCCACGAGGGGAGGAGAGAGACGCAGAAGCCAAATCTACAACAGGCGGAGTAAGCGTCGGGATAGAACCCACGACCTCCTGTAGACCAGGCGAGGTGGTTAACATCTCACAGCCACCGCGATGATGATGATGAGAGAGAAGCCAACTCCGAATATACAGCAGCAGACATCGTCAGGGTCGGGATGAAACCCACGACCTCCTGCACACCAGGCGAGGTAGTTAACATCTCCTAGCCACCGCGATGATGATGAGAGAGAGAAGCCTTCAATAGCTGTACCGGGGGAATTTCCATTTGGTACAGATAAAATGGGAGGCTGATCGATGCCTGGGTGCTGTCAAGGGATTGCTCCGTATTGGTCAACCCGTTATGTATGTCGATGTTCTGGTAATTGCTGCTCACTCAGAGGAGGCGTTGGAGGCGCTGCTGCTGAACCTGGAGCTTGCCACTAAGAGGTGGGGCCTTACCATCAGCCCCACCAAAACTAAGCACCTACCTGGGTATTTTGTGCCATCGGACACTCCACCCCCACAACTTCCAATTGGTGATGGGGCAGTTGTGGAGAGATTGGAGAGTTTCCCAAACCTGGGCAGTGTGCTTATGACCGGCTCCAGTTTAACAGCAGAGGGCTCACTCCGACATCAGTGCAAGCGGCAATATCTTTTCATCGGTTGTGTAAGCTGTGTGGAAGCTACTGGTCTGGTCGCTTCCGCACCGACCGCTTCAAGTTTTCTCGGCCACGGCCATTCCCTCCCTTCTCTACGCTTGCGAAACGTGGGACCCCCCTAATGAACATCTTCGCCGGTTAGAAACCTGCAGGCTGGCCTTCCTACGATCCATCCTGGCGTTTAACCAGGCTGGATTGTGTGAGGAGCTCACAAATCTTTGAAAAATCTGGACAAAGTCCCATCGGTGAGCTCCTCCGGCAGGCAAGGCTGCGTTGGCTGGGTCATGCAGCCCGCATGCCCAGCCACCGGCATGCCTAAACAGCTTTGTTCGGCCGGATCGAGGGGCTAGACCGGGCGCGGCACGGGCTAGAGAATGAGATGGAGTGATGTGGTGCAGGAGGACGTGGAGCTGAGTGGACTTGCCGATGACTGGTACCAGCGGTGTCAAGGTCGGCCTCAGTGGAGGAGGCTCGTGAAGGACGCTACTGGGCAGTTGGAGGCAGTCGCCCTCCAGCAACAACGGAGGGCGGAGGAACGACGCTCACAACAACGAGCGGAGCGCCGGGTGGCAAAAGCACAGCAAGTTGGTACAGTAGGGGGCACAGGTGGTGCATCAGCCAGTCATCTCGGTCATCTCGGTCAGTCGACCCGTGGCACCTGCTGGGTCTGCCCCGTGACCTCCTGCCAGCTGGCGTTCGACACTTCACGTGGCCTCAAGGTGCACATGGCCTGGCACAAGCGTCGTGGTGACGTCACCGCCACTTAGTGGCGAATGGCGGTTGTTGTTGTGTGTGTGTTGGTGTGTGTGTTGGTGTGTGTGTGTGTGTGTTGGTGGGGTTCAGTGTGGGCACATCATCCCCAATATTCAAATGTGCTCAAAATGTCCCCCCCCCCAATCTATTGCTATAAAATAGATTTCTGTTCATATGATTGTGGTTATGGTTGTACTTTATTAATCCCCAATCTCTGCCATTACATACAATGAAACAAGAAAAGGTAAAAAAAAGAAAAAACAGAGCAATGTTATACAACACACTATTAGACATTATTGTAAAAAATAAATAAAAAGTCCATCCTGTGTGTTAGTGAATTTTTTGTAATATTTCAGACAGGAAATAAGTTTTAAAATTTTATTTTTTTCTGGGGGGTGGGGGGAGCTGACCCCCAGACCCCCTGGAATATTTGACTCCCCCCCCCAATGTTGACTCCATGGCCAGGGCCTTGCTTTTAGCCAATTGGTGCGAGCTGCTGTCGTGAGAAACTACACAGTAGCTCTGCGGTGGTGGTGAAATAAAAACAGTTGAGTATGTTTCACGCGAAGGCTTTCGCGACGAATATTACTCAATATTCGTTCGTAAGCGCTTACGCGATCTAAACCAACAGCCTTCATTACGAACTGCTGAGTAGTTTTGTTTGAAAGTTCGCTGGAGTGACGGAAATAAGTTTAACTTTCGATTGAAAGCTTTCGTGACTGCAGAGATTCATATTCTTGGATCCATCGCTAAAGTCACGTAGAAGGGAAATAAAAAATAATTTAAATATTTATTATTATTTTAATAGTAAAAATATGTTTTCTTATTTCATTATTTCCCTTCTACGTGACTTTACCGAAAGATCTAAGAATATGAAATGTAACTTCTTGAAGCGGATAACCTCATTATTGTTATTCTGCGGCCGTCTGGAACGCTCTTCTCTTCCGATATGAAAGAAGCCAACTTGGGAGCCGTTCTGCAACTTTTAAATCATCGCCTACATTGACAAACCCATTTGTTTAGAACTGCTGCTGCTGTTGCTGTTGTTGTTTAGTTTGAAGTCCATCCCACCACACCACCGATTAACGCGATTGGCCACGTACGGCGCCATAGAAGTTCCACGTACACGCACACACAGACACACACATTATTATTTATACTTTATCATTCATACATATATATTTTTCTTGTTGTTGTTGTTCAAATCTGCTGCTCGCTGCAACATTCGCAGCCGCGCCGCGCGTTTTCACATTTCATCGAAAGCGACTTCGAGTCTCTCTTCAAGAAGTGATGGAGGAGGCATCACCGCTCCACTCCAAACTACTTGCTGTACTGCCCGTGGGAGTCATCGCGCAGGTGACCATCACCACCATCACCACCACCTTCATCATCGTCGTCGACGGCTTGACCGTCACCGACAGATTCATTGGGGTCATCGGCAGAGTCATCTTTAGCATTGCCGCCATCGTCACCACGATCTCCAGAGGAACCGCCATCATCGCGGTGAGCGTCACCATCTTCATCGTCAGCAGCTTCAGGAGCACCACCCTCATCATCATCATCACCACCACCGCCGCCATCTTCAGCATTACCATCGTCGTTAGCACCGTCATCATCTTCATCATCACCACCACCACCATCACCACCATCATCACCAATATCACCACCATCTTCACCACCACCATCATCACCATCGTCACCAATATCACCACCATCATCTTCACCACCACCATCATCACCACCATCATCTTCAATGTCACCACCATCATCTTCACCAATGTCACCACTATCATCTTCACCAATGTCACCACCATCAGCTTCACCAATGTCACCACCATCATCTTCACCAATATCACCACCATGATTTTCACCACCACCATCATCACCACCATCATCTTCACCAATGTCACCACCATCATCTTCACCAATGTCACCACTATCATCTTCACCAATGTCACCACCATCATCTTCACCAATGTCACCACCATCATCTTCACCAATATCACCACCATGATTTTCACCACCACCATCATCACCACCATCATCTTCACCAATGTCACCACCATCATCTTCACCAATGTCACCACCATCATCTTCACCAGCATCATCACCATCTTCACCAACACCACCATCTTCACCATCATATTAACCACCACCATCATCATCACCATCTTCACCATCATCACAATCACCATCTTCACCACCATCTTCACCATCTTCACCACCACCACCACCATCTTCACCACTATCACCTCCACCATCATCACCACCTTCACCATCACCACCACCACCATTATCACCATCACCACCATCATCACCATCTTCACCACCATCACCACCATCACCACCATCATCACCATCACCCACCATCACCACCATCATCACCATCTTCACCACCATCACCATCACCACCATCACCACCACCATCACCACCACCATCACCACCATCACCATCACCACCATCACCACCATCACCACCACCACCATCACCACCACCACCGCCGCCGTCTTCGCGAGCGACTGGCTCCAGTCACTGAGCGTCCCATCTCAGGGCGCCCCACCAACCCCCCTCCACATGGCGCACTCAGCGTGGCCGGGGGGGTGGGGGGGTGGGGGGTTGTGGGGGGGGTTGTGTGTGTGTGGGTGTGTGGGTGGTTGTGTGGGGGTTGTGTGTGTGTGGGTGTGTGTGTGGGCGGGTTTGTGTGTGTGGTTGTGTGTGTGTGTGGGTGTGTGTGTGTGTGTAGGGGTGTGTGTGTGTGTGGTTGTGTGTGGTGTGTGTGTGTGGGGTTGTGTGTGTGTGGGTGTGTGTGGTGGGGTGGGGGTTGTGGGTGTGGGTGTGTGTGTGGTTGTGTGTGTATGTGTGTGTGTCTGTGTGTGTATGTGTGTGTGTGGGTGTGTGTGGTTGTGTGGGTGTGGGTGTGTGTGTGTGGTGTGTGTGTGGGGGGTGTATGTGTGTATGTGTGTGTGTGTGGTGGGGTGTGTATGTGTGTGTGTGTGGGTGTGTGTGTGTGTATGTGTGTGTATGTGTGTGTATGTATGTGTGTGTGTATGTGTAGTGGGTGGTGGTGCTCTAGAGGATGGAGGGGATGGGCCGATCGTGATCTCCGCAGTGAAGGGTGCGATTGCCGTGTGGGGCAGTCCCAGGCTGCTCGCAGTGAGGCCCGCGATGTTGTTCAGACTGCGGGACTTCTCGTAGCCTGCACACGCACAGGCAAAGGTCCCCCGTGTAGCCTCGGCAGGCTGTAGGGGCAAGTGCTGCTAGCTGGCACCTATGAAGGCCGGCACTGTGGTACACGAGGGGGTGGGTGGCCAGCACCACGCTCGGCCGCCTTTGTCTCCCCAGTGGCGATGTTTACTACACACCGCACCATGTACTCATTTGAGGCCGAGTCGACCTAAGGGAGGAGGCCCAGGCCCAGATTGTGTTGGCTGGCCGTGAGCGGGAATGCAACTCGGGTCACGGGCGGGTTCATGACGCTAACCGCTTGCACCACCGCTCCCTGTAGCTGCCCCAACACACACACACACAGATACACACACACACACATACACACACAGACACACACACACACATACAGACACACACAGACACACACACACATACAGACACACACAGACACACACACATACAGACATACACAGACACACACAGGCACACAGATACAAACACACATACAGACAACAACAACCGCCATTCGCCACTAAGTGGCGGTGACGTCACCACGATGCTTGTGCCAGGCCAAGTGCACCTTGAGGCCACGTGAAGTGTCGAAAGCCCGCTGGCAGGAGGTCACGGGGCAGACCCAGGTGCCACTGGTCGACTGACCGAGATGACCGAGATGACTGGCTGATGCACCACCTGTGCCCCCTACTGTGCCAACTTGCTGTGCTTTAGCCACCCGGCGCTCCGCTCGTTGTTGTGAGCGTCGCTCCTCCGCCCTCCGTTGTTGTTGGAGGGCGACTGCCTCCAACTGCCCAGTAGCGTCCTTCACGAGCCTCCTCCACTGAGGCCGATCTTGACACCGCTGGTACCAGTCATCGGCAAGTCCACTCAGCTCCACGTCCTCCTGTACCACATCACTCCATCTCTTCTCCAGCCCGTGCCGCGCCCGTCTAGCCCCCTCGATCCGGCCGAACAAAAGCTGTTTAGGCATGCGGTGGCTGGGCATGCGGGCTACATGACCCAGCCAACGCAGCCTTGCCTGCCGGAGGAGCTCACTGATGGGACTTTGCCCAGATCTTTCAAGGATTTGTGAGCTCCTCACACAATCCAGCCTGGTTAAACCCAGGATGGATCGTAGGCAGGCCAGCCTAAATGTTTCCAACCGGCGAAGATGCTCCACCAGGGGGGTCCACGTCTCGCAAGCGTAGAGAAGGGAGGGAATGACCGTGGCCGAGAAGACCTGAAGCTTCGTGCGGAGCGACAGACCAGGTAGCTTCCACACAGCGTTACGCAACCGATGAAAAGATATTGCCGCTCGACTGATTCGGAGTGAGACCTCTGCTGATAGACTGGAGCCGGTCATAAGCACACTGCCCAGGTATGGGAAACTCTCCACTCTCTCCACAACTGCCCCATCACCAATTGGGAGTTGTGGGGGTGGAGTGTCCGATGGTACAAAATACCCAGGCAGGTGCTTGGTTTTGGTGGGGCTGATGGTAAGGCCCCACCTCTTAGTGGCACGCTCCAGTCTCAGCAGCAGCGCCTCCAACTCCTCTTCTGAATGAGCAGCTATTACCAAATCATCGGCATACATAACGTGGTTGACCAATAGGGAGCCATCCCTTGATCGCACCCGGGCGTCGATCAGCCTCCCATTATATCTGTACCAAACGGAAATTCCCCCGGTACAGCTATTGAAGGCTTCACGAACTACGCGGTCAAAATAGATGTTAAATAATGTGGGAGCCAGAGGACATCCCTGTCGCACCCCAAGGTGTACAGGGAAAGGCTCCGACTCCCGGCCACGTAGTTTTACCCGGGCCCGCTCACCATCATGAAGGTCCTTAATGATCGTGAGCAGAGGGTCAGGGACTCCGAAAGCACGAAGAACAACCCAGAGTCCAGTCCTACTGATGGTATCATAGGCCTTGACCAGGTCAATAAAGCAGAGATGTAGGTCTTTTTGGAATTCCCTACACCTCTGCTGTAGCAGACGGACAGAAAATATGGCATCTGTGCAGGACCGCCCTTTCCTGAAACCGCATTGGGGCTCCGCAAGCCCCTCCTCAGCGTGCCTAGCAAGGCGATGTTGAATAATCCTTGCCAGGACCTTACCCGGCACACTGAGGAGTGAGATGCCCCTGTAGTTGTTACAGTCTGTGCGGTCCCCCTTCTTAAAGAGGGGGACCACCAGGGCATCCTTCCAGTCCTGCGGAACCCGTCCAGTGGTCCAGACTGTTGTTATGATGTCATATAGGGCAGTCTGTGCACAAACGCCACCCTCCCTCAGCATTTCGCTTGGGAGATCATCTCTGCCCGGTGCCTTCCCTGGTCTCAGACTCCGGATCGCCCTCAGTACTTCCTCAACAGCTGGAACCTCAGCCAGCCACTCACAGGGGGTGACCTCTTCCAATATTTGAGGCACCGCAGCCTCAGCAGGGTTATCCCCACTTTGTGCCATGATGTTTTCCTGGCTGAGAGAATTTCCCTCCCCCAGGACCTCACAGAAATGCTCAGCAAATCTGCAAACCTGTTCCTGGGGGTCGGAGATTGGATCACCGTTTTTTCCTCTAATGATGGTAATAGGTGTGGCGCTGCAGGTTACTTTTTTGATGGAGTTAAATAGTGATTTGTGATCACGGGCCACTGAGGCAGACTCCATCTCCTCAGCAACCCGCGACCACCACCCATCCTTACAACGCCTTACGGCTCTCCGAACTTCCGAGCGAAGGCTGCGGTAAACCTCCTCATTCTCTGACGTGGGATGCTGTAGGCGATGAGAGTGGGCCTGTCGCTTTTTCTCAATTAACCTGAACACCTCCTCTGTCAGCCAGGGTTTCTGGGGAGGTCTGGACCGCGTACCCAAAGCAGCCATTGCAGCTGCATGAGTCACAGTCCTAAACCTCGCCCATTTACCCTCGACATCAGGTGGAGTGGGGGACGATGCCAACCCCAGCTGCAAGCGATGATGAAATTCTCGCTTGCAACTTTCATCAGCTAACTGAGACCAGGCCACTTTTGGTTGGAATGGGATCCTGGGTGTACACCCACCACCGGAGTGGAAGAAAGGCAGGCGCATCTTACAGATGACTAGTCGATGGTCAGAGGACAGATCAGCTCCACGGTAGGTCCTGGTGTCAAGGACATGGGTTCGCATCCGCTGGTCCGTCACTATGTAGTCCAGCAGATGTTCTTGCTTGGACCCGGCATGTATCCATGATGTTGTGTGGATGCGCCGATGCCGGAAGAGCGTGTTGGTAATTACAAGCCCATGGGCTGCACAAAAATCTAGCAGCCTCCTACCGTTATTATTGAGCTGATCTGGCCCATGCCTTCCAATCACTCCAGACCAGGTGTCAGCATCATGACCAACTCGGGCATTGAAGTCACCCAACAAGATGACTCTGTCCCGAGTGGCCACTTTAGCCAGCACCTGTGACAGGAGGTCATAGAAAGCGTCTGACTCATCGGCTTTGCTTGCATCCCTCCACGGATGTTCGTCTTCGGTGGGGGCATAAGTAACCACGACCACCACTCCTCGCCTCTGGTTGAATGGGAAGGCGAGCCCAAAGTATCCGGGGCTTACAGCTTCCCCACACTCACCGCCACGCTCCCACGCCCCCTTCATTCTTTTGTTCAGAAGAAGAGCCACACCCTGTTGTTTGGCAGTCTCCTGCCCCGAGTAGAGGACTGTCCACCCCTCATGGTGGCAGGAGCCAGAACCGGTCCACCGGACCTCCTGAATGCCACAGAGATCCAGGCGGTACCGGTCCAGCTCCCGACATACAGACACACACAGACACACACACATACATACAGACACACACAGAAACATACACACACAGACACATAGACACGCAGACACATAGACACGCACACACATAGACACACAAACACACTACACAGACAAAGATCCCCCGTGTAGCCTTAACAGACTGTAGGGGCAAGTGCTGTTAGCGAGCACCTATGAAGGCTGCACGGTACACGAGGGGGTGGGTGGCCAGCACCACGCCCGACCGCCTTTGTCTCCCCAGTGGCGATGTTTACACATCGCACCAGGTACTCATTTCAGGCTGAGTCGACATAGGGGAGGCCCAGGACACACACAGACACACACACACATACATACACACACACAGAGACACAAACACACACACACAGACACACACAGACACACTCAGACACACACACATACACACAAACACACACACACATACACACACACACACAAACACACACACAGACACACACCGGACACACAAACACACACACACAACACACATATACACACACATACACACAAACACACACAGACACACACAGACACCACCATTGTGGTGGTCACCGCCACGCACAATCCCGCACCTACGATCAGCGCGGCCGGCTACGCACCACTCGTTTGAGGCTGAGTCGACCTAGGGGTGACCCACGGCCAATTCAAATCGGTACGACGTTACAACCAACTTCATCAGGAGACAGCCAGATTTCTGGCTCCCGCCTGATGAAGCTGGTTGTAATCACTGGCGAAACGTCGTACTCAGTTTGTAAATGTTGTGGCTTGGCTCTCCAACACACAACCGGTGTGCTGTACTAGTACACTACACTATACACTACACTATACACTACACTTCTACACTACACTATACACTACTACACTATACTATACACTACACTATACACTACTATACACTACACTATACACTACACTATACACTACACTATACACGACACTATACACTACACTATACACTACACTATACACTACACTATACTATACACTATACTATACACTATACACTACACTATACACTACACTATACCTACACTATACACTACACTATACACTACACACTAGTGCTGTACTAGTGACGCATTGGACACGTTCTGTTACGTGACAACCCTCACTAGTTGGCTGTGTCGGGTGGTGGCGGGTTTTAACGACACATTTCTACACTTACGCGATCTAACCCAAAACAACCTCGATTACGGATAATTTAGTTTTAGTTGATGCAACGTTCTTACCCCGTGCTCCCTTAGTGGACATCCGTGAGCAAAGAGCTTTATAGCTCGTCAGATTCCTCCAGTAGTATAAATATTCTCATAGAAATAAAAAAACAGTTACGTTTATAAGTGTTTAACTTTTCCCACACGTTGCGCTCCACATCGTTGATTTTCGTTTGTCGCTGCAACGATCTCCCCCCCCCCCCCCCCGTTGCCCCCCTTAGTGGACATCTGTGAGCTAAGAGCTTCATTGCTCATCGGATTCCCCCTCCTGGCACTCGAAGGCACACATCGGCACAGAAGCCCATTCCGCTGGAACGCGAAGTCCACCTTTGCGGGCGACGCTGTCGGGCGAGCACGCGAAGTCCCGCCCGTCGACAGGAGGAAGCAAGTCGCCCCCTTGCCGAACGAGTCGCGGGCACTTGACCTGCGCCCGTGGCGTCGACCGTCAGTCGACCTCCTCCTCCCCTTGGCTCCACCACCACCTCCACCACCACCACCACCACCGCCTCTTCCTCCTCCACCACCAGCACCAGAGCTCGCCTCTCCGTTCTGCCGTGAACCTTTGGGCAAAGTCGGGTTAGCAGCGGGGGTCAAGTGTGACGATAACAGCAACAACAACCATAACAACAACAACAATAGCAACAATAACAACAACAATAACACAAATAACAATAACAACAATAACTATAATAGCAAACAACAATCACAACAACAAGAACAACAAACAATAACAACCAACAACAATAACACAAATAACAATAACAACAACAATAACAACAACAACAATAACACAAATAACAACAGCAATACCAGTAACAACAATAACAACAATAACAGCAACAACAATAACTAAAATAACAACAACAATCACAAAAACAATAACAACAACAATAACAACAACAACAATAACCCACAACAAGAACAACAACAACAATAACTAAAATAACAACAACAAGAACACAACAATAACAACAACAATAATAACAACAAAAACGCCCACAACAAAAACGACCTAAAAATACTTCCACTAAACATCAACGGCTTCAACAACGAAGCTCTTGAACTCAGCACCTTCCTACAACAGAACTCCATTAATACAGCCGACATCCAAGAAACTAAATTAAAAAACACTTAAATTTCGATTTAAAGCTTTCGTGACTGCAGGGATTCATCTTGGTTCTTTCAGTAAAGTCGCGTAGAAGGGAAATAATAAAATAATGAAAATAAAACATAAAATACAATTCTCACGACGTTTCGGCCACAACGCAAGCAGCCGTCCTCAGGTGAAGAACAGGTCTGTCGGAAAGACAGCGTCCTAATGAAAAAGAAAAAATCTAGATGTTTTATTTTTCGATTTAAAGCTTTCGTGACTGCAGGGATTCATCTTCTTGGTTCTTTCGATAAAGTCACGTAGAAGGGAAATAATAAAATAATAAAAATAAAACAAAATACAATTCTCACGACGTTTCGGCCACAACGCAAGCAGCCGTACTCAGGTGAAGAACAGGTCTGTCGGAAAAACAGAACGCCACTTCTCGCCTGCTCAGCTTTCAACATTTCACTTTCCTCCATCGAGACCGACCGACAGCTGGTGGCGGTCTCGCTTTCCTCATCCATAACAGCATTCAATTTGAATAAGTTAAAATCCCAATGCCTCCTTCTGATATCACCACAGAAGTTTTAAGCGTCCGTATCAAATCCCATCTAGGCCCACTCACTGTAATCAACGTCTACATCCCAGCGGCCAGTTCTTCCCCTCGCAACTGTCAGTTCAATACAAATCGACCTTTACCAAACAACGACTCAATTGATAATTGGTTTTTTACCCTTCTGGCTGGCAACAAAACTGACACCTTCAGTTTTGTTGCCAGATAGAAGGGTAAAAAACCAATTATCATATTTTTTTACTGGCAAATGAGGTTCCAATAGTGTAAACGACTCAATTGTTGATTTGAAGCTTTCGTGACTGCAAGCCTATTTCAGCAGTTTTTTTTTCTTGCTGTGATTGTCCCACCTGATGACGGTAGCTTGTGTTGAGATCGAAACGTCGTGATCTATTATTTTTCTACCAACGTGACTTCACCGAAATAACCAAAAAGTATGGACTCAATTGTTATTGGAGATTTCAACGCCCACAATAAACTTTGGCACTCTCAGATGCACGTGGCGACCTCATTGCCGATATCTTGAACGGCTGCCCCTATGGGGCTACTCAATAAAAAGAATCACACCAAAGTTCCGTCATCTGACACTTCACCCTCACCAGATATCTCAATAGCGTCAAGAAACCTGCTTTCATCAATCGACTGGCAAGTCTCTACGGCCCTTGGATCCGACCACCTACCAATTGTGTTGACGTTCAATGCCGCCAGGCCTCCACAAACTCCTAAACACCGCTTTTATTACAACTTTAAAAAAGCCAACTGGCCACTTTTTACTTCAGAATCAGAAGCATTATTCGCCGACAACATCAACCATATCCACACATCCGCACATAACTCTGAAAAAATGTTCAGAAACATCATCGCGACTACCACCAAGCACACCATCCCAGCGGGCTGCTACAAGCAACACCTTCCCTGCCTCCATAAAGAAGCCGCAACGATAATAAACCAACGAAACACTATTAGGACTAAAATTCCTACATCACCACAAATCCCAGCCTTCAATATTGAAATCACAAAGCTAATCAATCGAGCCAAAACAGAACGCTGGCACGAGTTTGTTGAATCTTTTGACCGTCGCCAAAACTCATCAAAACTTTGTAAGACCATCAAAGCCTTCGACGGACACTCCAGACCGCCACCCAATTGTGCAATCACTTTCAACAACAAATCCGTCATAAACAACAACAACAGTAACATCGCCAACCACTTCAACAACTTTTCTCATCAGTCGCCCCACAATCTTCCAAAAAATCCACCCGTCAAAAAATCCGTCAAATCGATGAACTACCTCTAAATGACGCCCCCCCCCCCCCCCACAATTTCGCCTTGAAGAGGTGAAACTCGCAGTCAAAAAGCCAAAAATTATTCCGCAAATCGGCCCTGATGGCATAGCTATGCCCCACCTCAAACACCTCGGCCCCTTTGGCATCAAGTTTCTCCGCCTCCACCATCAACGTCTCTCTACAGTTGCAAACCTCATTGCGGCCATCTGGAAGTCATCGACAATCATCCCACTTCCAAAACCCGGCCAAGACCATCAATCAAGCAACGTCCTACAGACCGAGTTCCCTACTTTGACCATCGATCAAGATTTTAGAGGCCCTCATCCTTCCAATCACCACCACAAACTTACCCCCTTCATCTCACCAACACGGCTTTCGCCCTGCACACTCAACAACGACAGCTCTTCTCAACCTAACCACCAAAATTGTAAACGGTTTCAATGAGAATAAGTATAACCCGTAAAAAACAAAGTTTTTCACTCTAAATCCTTTATATGCGTGGCGGCTAGATTCCTCTCGTCATCTGGCTTGAGATGGCTGCCACCTATGGGTCAGATGATTGTCTGCCAGTATTAAACAATTTGTAATTAAATATTTAATTTGTTTTCCCTAAACAGTGTAAAATTTTGGGGAAAAAAATTCACGAACATTAATTGTCTCGCACAGACGATTCTGTGTGAAAAATGTCAGCTCGATTGGATCACGGGAAGTGGGTTAAAAAACGACGGAAAGATTTGCACGGTCGTAAGCAAGCAAGCAAGCACGCAAGCACGCAAGCAAACTTAATAGAAAGGATTTAAAAGACCCCATCCCGCACTAATCGTCGCTTCCCTTGACCTTACAAAGGCTTTCGACACCGTTAACCACCTCACGCTCATCAACATCATCCAGGTTCGACGCTACCATCAGGCCTTGTTTGCTGGCTTACAACTACCTAATCGGGCTGCCACTCACGCACTCTCTCTCTTTCATGATATTCAAACCTCCTCACGAAACATTCATGCAGGAGTACCCCAAGGTTTTAATTCTATATTTGAAGCTTTCGTGACTGCAAGGATTCATATTCTTAGGTTTTTTCGGTAAAGTCACGTAGGTATGGAACCCCAAGGTTCCATAAATATCCCCAGCGCTGTTCAACGCCTACCTCCACGATCTACCAACTCCTCCAAAAGGATCACGAGTAGTCGGCTAGCCGACGACATCACAGTTTACACTTCTAATCAAAATATACCCAACATGGAAAACTCCATCAACTCCTATCTAAAACGGCTCAGCACTTTCCTCACCAAAATATCGCTTCAACTCTCAAACATCCAAATCAACAGTCGCCCTTTTCACACCTGATCCTCGTCAAGCCAACTTACATCGCAACGTAATAATACACAACCAACGCCTCCCACGAGCTAAAATCCCAAGATTCTAGGTGTAACCTTTGACACCGTGTTCAGCTTCGCTCAACACGGCAGAAAGGTCCATGCAAAGTTGACAAACGAAATAAAATCTTACGAGCTTTAGCCGGCACATCTTGTGGTCAACAAAAGGAGACTTTAAATTTCGATTTAAAGCTTTCGTGACTGCAGGCATTAATCTTCTTGGTTCTTTCTGTAAAGTCACGTAGAAGGGTAATAAATAATAAAAATAAAATAATAAAAAAAATATTATTTATTTTATTATGTTTTACTTTTATTATTAATTATTATTAATAAAAATAAAACATAATAAAATAAAATATATTTTATTTTATTATGTTTTATTTTTATTATTTTTATTATTAAATAAATGATATTTTATTTTATTATGTTTTTTTATTATTTTATTACTTCCCTTCTACGTGACTTTACCGAAAGAACCAAAAAGAAAAAGGAGACTTTACTCCTAACCTACAACGCCATTGGACAGTCCCATCATCAATTCAGCCAGTCCCATTTGGTGCCCAAACCTCTCCTCTACAGGTTACCAAAAGCTCCAAACCTCCCTAAACCAGGCACTTCGCCTAGCCACAGGATGCTACCTCATGGCCCCTTGACCATCTCCACTAAGAAAATCAAAAGTTCTTCCGATTCAAGAACACTGCAAGCTTCTCACCGTCATATCTGGCTTCGTGCCACTCGACAAACGCATCCTTGCACAAGCTACTCAAAGCGCCCATGCACCTGCTAGGAAAATTATATCCATCTTGCTTTCCCTTCAGCTCTGCCAACGTGCGATCTACGTTAACGTTCTTCCAAGCCAAACAGCACCACAAAATCAACGTTTTAACCGCTTGCACCGACGCTGCCACCATGCACTGCCGGAACGCCTACAAGCCAAATGTCGTGCTAGGGCGTTGGCCACCACCCATAGCAGACGACGAAAAATCCCTGAGCCGGCAACTCGCAACAAAACTGGCTCAACTCCACTATTGGAGACCTCATTTGCCAGTAAAAAATGATAATTTGTTTTTTACCCTTCTATCTGGCAACAAAACTCGCACCTTTTTTTTTTACAAGGAGTCATGTTGCATAGACCACATACCTGCAGTCATAAAGCAAACAAAAAACAACTTTGATATGTTGCACTTTCCTTGATGTTGATTGGTCCACACCCGAGACAGCTTTCCTTAGAGCCTAGTCTCACATGGGTTGGACCAAATAACACCTTTTGGCGTCATCTGGTCCAACCCATGTGAGACTTGGCTCAACTCCGTTCAGGTTACTGCTGCTGCCGTGCTCCGCCGATAACAAAATCGAAATCGACCCAAACGTCCCAAACTGCTGCTGCCCTTTGTGCCAAGCAACGCCAGAAGACGTCCCCCATTTCTCCAGTTGCCCCAACGAGGACCGACAATCAAATCGACTGATCTCTGGCTAAACCTCTTCCAAAGTGTGACACAACGCCATCTATGAACAGAATGCGAGAAAAACAACAACAACAACCATTGCCACCACCTCCACTACCGACACCAACACCCCAGCCCCCCGTTAGCCACTAAGCGATGGTGACGTCTCCACGGCACCTGTGCCAGGCTAGGTGCACTTTGAGGCTACCACGTGAAGTGTCGAAGGCCTCGCTGCTGGCAGAAGGTCACAGGGCAGACCCAGCAGTGCCACGGGTTGCCCGACTAAGATGACCGGTAGATGCACCACTAGCTGTACCCCTACTGTGCCAGGCTAGGTGCAGGAGGAGATCACGGGACAGACCCAGCAGATGCCATGAGTTGGCTGACTGAGATGACCGGTAGATGCACCACCAGATGTACCCCTACTGTGCCAGGCTAGGTGCAGGAGGAGTCACGGAACAGACCCAGCAGATGCCATGAGTTGGCTGACTGAGATGACCGGTAGATGCACCACCAGATGTACCCTACTGTGCCAGGCTAGGTGCAGGAGGAGGTCACGGAACAGACCCAGCAGATGCCATGAGTTGGCTGACTGAGATGACCGGTAGATGCACCACCAGATGTACCCCTACTGTGCCAGGCTAGGTGCAGGAGGAGGTCTCGGGACAGACCCAGCAGGTGCCATTGGTTGGCTGACTGAGATGACCGGTAGATGCACCACCAGCTGTACCCTTACTATGCCAACTAGCTATTTTAGCCGCACGGCGCTCTGCTCGTTGTTGTGAGCGTCGCTCCTCTGCCCTCCGTTGTTGCTGGAGGGCGACTGCCTCCAACTGCCCAGTAGCGTCCTTCACGAGCCTCCTCCACTGAGGCCGATCTTGACACCGCTGGTACCAGTCACTCAGCTCCACATCATCCTGTACCACATCACTCCATCTCTTCTCTAGCCCGTGCCACGCACGTTTAGCCCCCTCGATTCGGCTGAACAAAAGCTGTTTAGGCATGCGGTAGATGAGCATGCGGGCTACATGACCCAGCCAACGCAGCCTTGCCTGCCGGAGGAGCTCACCGATGGGACTTTGTCCAGATCTTTAAAAGATTTGTAGCTCCTTACACAATCCAGCCTGGTTAAACCCAGGATGGATCGTAGGCAGGCCAGCCTAAATATTTGTAACCGGCGATGATGTTCCATTAGGGGGGTCTATGTTTCATCACCACCGCAACCTCCACCACCACGGCATACATCACCATCACACCACTCACAACTCACCACCACACCACTCACCACCACACACTCACCACCACAACACTCACTTCCCTCACCACCACACCACTCACCACAACCACTCAACACTCACCACCACACCAACACCACACCACTCACCACCCACCACTCAACACTCACCACCACACCACTCACCACCACACCACTCACCAACACCACTCACCACCAACACCACTCACCACCAACACCACTCACCACCACACCACTCACCACCACCCCACTCACCAACACCACTCACCACCACCCCACTCACCACCAACACCACTCACCTGCACGGTCAACCACCAGTCCCGCGGAAGCCACGCTCCGTCCACCACCACCACCACCACCGCCACTACCACTGCCACCACCACCACCACCACTGGCACCCTTCACCAGCAGGCAGCGGTCACTCCGCACGCAGTTGGCGTGCGGGCCCTGCTCTGGCCGGCAGTAGAGGGGCGAGCCGAGATGTGGCGGCCTCGGCACGTGCTTCTTGCGCCGGTTGGGCAGCTTTTGCTTGGCCATGGCGAGCGAGTAGTACATGCTGAAGTTGTTGACGATGACGGGCACGGGCATGGCGATGGTGAGCACCCCTGCCAACGCGCACAAGGCCCCACCAGCATGCCCGACCACGTCTTGGGTACATGTCCCCGTAGCCCAGCGTCGTCATCGTCACCACGGCCCACCAGAACCGATGGGGATGTTCTTGAAGCTGGTCTGCTGATGCTGGTGATTGTGGTGGTCGGACGAGGAGGACGAGGAGGAGGTGGAGGACGAGGACGTGGACGTGGAGGAGGACGACGTCTGGTCGTCCTGGTCGAACGAGTGTCCGAGACCCAGGCGCTCGGCGTAGTAGATCATGGTGGCGAAGATGAGCACGCCCAGCGCGAGGAAGATGACGAGGAGGAGGAACTCGTTGGCGCTGGCGCGCAGCGTGTGTCCCAGCACGCGCAGGCCCACGAAGTGGCGCGTCAACTTGAAGATGCGCAGGATGCGCACGAAGCGCACCACGCGCAGGAAGCCCAGCACGTCCCGGCGCCCTTCGACGTCATGCCCGTGAGGCCCACCTGTTGGGGGGGGGGCGGGGGGGTGGGGTGGGGGGGGGGGTGGGGGGGGGGGGGGGGGGGGGG